GTTTAAATTCTCAGATATTTTTTTAAATGAAAAAGTACAATTGCATAGCGCATGTCCAAAGGACTGCCTAAGGCGAGGATTTAGGTTTCCTCCCCATGTCCCCTTTCTCTGTCTATCTCAGGCACTTACCTGGCCCTGTTGTAGTATTTGGATGCCCCACAATTTTCAGCGTCTTCATAGAGAAATGCTCTTACCCCCATTGTATAGATATGGAGCTGAGGCTGCCTCATTTCACCATAGCTCCTCCACCACCCAAGTTGGTACAGGGAATCTGTAGCAGAGGGGGAATTGAACCCAGAGCTGCTAGGGCATAGCCTAGTGCTCTAGCCACTGGCCTGTCAAGAGTCTCCCTTGCTAATTCCTCTCCATGACACTTCACAGCACCAGGTTGGCTTTTCCAGAGTCGGTGCTGCTTCTCTCAGATGCAGGGGCATAGTTTCATAGAGTATCAGGGTTGGAAGGGACTTCAGGAGGTCATCTAGTCCGACCCCCAGCTCAAAGCAGGACCAACCCCAGCTAAATCGTCCCAGTCAAGGCTTTGTCAAGCCAGGCCTCTAAGGATGGAGATTCCACCACCTCCCTAGGTAACCCATTCCAGTGCTTCACCACCCTCCTAGTGAAATAGTGTTTCCTGATATCCAACCTAAACCTCCCCCACCACAACTTGAGACCATAGCTCCTTGTTCTGTCATCTGCCATCACTGAGAACAGCCTAGCTGCATCCTCTTTGGAGCCCCCTTCAGGTAGGTGAAGGCTGATATCATATTCTCCCCCTTCCTCCCCCCCCCCCCCCCCGCACTCTTCTGCAGACTAAATAACCTGTTGCCTCAGCCTCTCTTCATAAATTGTGCCCCAGCCCCCTAATCATTTTCGTTGCCCTCAGCTGGACTCTCTCCAATTTGTCCACATCCCTTCTGTATTGGGGGATCAAAACTGGATGCAGTACTCCAGGTGTGGCCTCAACAGTGTCGAATAGAGGGGAATAATCACTTCCCTTGATCTGCTGGCAATGCTCCTACTAATACAGCCCAATATGCTGTTGGCCTTCTTGGCAACGAGGGTGCTGCTGACTCAGATCCAGCTTCTCATCCACTGAAATCCCCAGGTCCTTTTCTGCAGAACTGCTGCTTAGCCAGTCGGTCTAAGTTTTTTCTGATCAGACTTTGTTGTCTCCTTCCCTTCTAATGCTACTTTGTTTCATTTCTCCCCTTCATTTCTTATTGTCTCACCTTTCTCTGCACCTGTTTCCAAGAGGTCCCTTCCCCTTATCCCCAGCCCTGTAGTAATAGGGGACACGTGTGCAAGGCCTGCACACCAGAACGCATTGATGCAGTGCCTTCCTTCTCCACAGGAGGTGGGGCAGAGACTCCGTGCTTTGTAGGAGAAGGGAGAGCACTTCTGGGCGAGCACTCTTGGGCCCTCCAGAAAGAGCACTTATTCTCTGCAAGTTTGAAGATTCAGAAGAGAATTTCCTCATGGTGGCGGAGAAAGGAGATGGCCACTAGATCCAAAACACACTCTCTCCTGCTTGTGCCCAATTGTAGGGGACCAAATACAAATTCACTACAGTTGATCAAAGCATGAGAAGAGTTAAAATGGCATGTGTTTCGCAAATGGGATTTAGCGGACTGAGATGGATTTCTCAGTTACTAAAGGAGCGCTGTAATACCTGCTTGTGGCTCTGATATGTTAGCTTGTTCTTTACTGCTGATACAAATAGAGTGCCTACCCTGTGTGAAGCTGCTTACGCTTGCATCAGATGTGTGCAAATAGACTTGGCTAATTAGTTATAGAAGTACTAATTCTCTTATTGGTATTTGCTTTGACATTTTTCAGAGGAACAGCCGTGTTAGTCTGTATTCGCAAAAAGAACAGGAGGACTTGTGGCACCTTAGAGACTAACCAATTTATTTGAGCATAAGCTTTCGTGAGCTACAGCTCACTTCATCGGATGCATACTGTGGAAACTGCAGAAGACATTATATACACAGAGACCATGAAACAATACCTCCTCCCACCCCATTCTCCTGCTGGTAATAGCTTATCTAAAGTGATCACTCTCCTTACAATGTGTACGACAATCAAGCTGGGCCACCTCCAGCACAAATCCAGGTTCTCTCACCCTCCGCCCCCCGCCCCCCACAAACCCACTCTCCCGCTGGCAATAGCTGGAGGTGGCCCAGCTTGATTGTCGTGCACATTGTAAGGAGAGTGATCACTTTAGATAAGCTATTACCAGCAGGAGAATGGGGTGGGAGGAGGTATTGTTTCATGGTCTCTGTGTATATAATGTCTTCTGCAGTTTCCACAGTATGCATCCGATGAAGTGAGCTGTAGCTCACGAAAGCTTATGCTCAAATAAATTGGTTAGTCTCTAAGGTGCCACAAGTACTCCTTTTCTTTTTGCTTTGACATTGTTAGCTAACAGGGTGGATTGATTTTAATCAAATTGATTTAAATCACCAGTTGTAACCATGATTTTGATCAGTAAGCAGGAAACATTGATTTTAATCATGTTTTGCATTTTTTAGTTTTTCTACAGAAAGTTTGATAACCATTAAAACATGATGATTTCCAACTAAATATAGTCTTTACGGTAAATTTGGTGTTTCTTTTTACTAACGAGGAGGACACGGTATATCTATGTACACATTTATTTAAGCAATTATATAATTTAATTTACATTGATTTAAATGGTTAATTTTTATTATTTTTAGAGGATGGTGAATGATGCATTTCTTTAATTACTTTTTTACTTGTGATTTGTGAGAGACTATTTGGAAATTCAAAATCAATCCACAGAAACCGTATGTAAAATTACCTTAAGTGTGCTGGAAACATAAGAAAAAAGCTTATAAAAGTGTTTCAAAACATGTTTTGTATTTAAAACTAACGTTAATTAAACAAAGTAGTTATCTGTAGCAAAATTTAACTGATTACTTCTGGTCACCATGTTGTTCAAGATTTTAGTAACAGTAGAGCTTGTCTTCTTGCATCTAAGTTTTGTGTGGGAGAGGAAGAGGAAAACTAGCTATCCTGCTTTTAAGGGTTCCAGTTGGTTTCTTAACTGAATGAAGTAGTCACTGAATTGAACTAGTTGAATAAACTGAAATGAAGGTTTCATATTTAAATCATTTACATTAAATAAAAAAAATTTGAAAATTGGTAGCAAATATGTACTAAGAAAGTCAAACCACTGAACCAGAGTTTGTTGAAGCGTTAAACCAGCTTTTGACAAAACAGTAGCGTCTTCTACAGGGCAGAGAAAATATTTTCTTCATTTCAGTTTATTCATCTAGCTCAGTTCAGTGACTAGTTCATTCAAAGTCAAGAAACCAACTGGGAGTTGCAGAAGTAGAAAGCTATTTGTTCTTTTTAGAAATGATTGATAGAAAAATATATCCAAGTACAATCGCTGAGAAGTAAGAACCTAAGATAATAGGAAAGGCAGTGTATTTATGGTAAGATAGGCATTTGAAATTTTTCTTTAATCCTGGTTGTTTGGAATATTCTCAAGCTTTCCATTTTGGCTGAAATGTCCCACATGCTTAGTCTTGGCCCAGAAATAAACACTCTTTGCAATGCTTGTGCAAAATTCATTGTTCCTTTTGAATTATGGGAGCATGAAAAAAATCTTTTGGTTTAAGAAAAAGTTCTGTTTGCTTTTATAAGATGAAGTCAAATTGTTGAACCTTCACAATTCCATACATATGGACCTCAGTGAAGAAGTTAGAAGGCTAAATTTGGGGAAAGCTTTGTACCTTTGAAATTACTATGTTTAAAATTACATAATTGAGCATGTGCAAATAAGTAATATTTTAGTAGATTGTGGTGCTGATGCGTAACTCCCGGGCCATAGCAGCAGAGGAATGTTTGCTCAAAAGCACTGTTAGTCAGTAAAGTTAAACTGTTTTGTTCTTGCACTGCCCATTTGCATGTCATCATGAGAATATGATGGGGGGTGGGGGGAGATGAAGTTTTGCGCAAAAGTGGAACTTGAAATACATCAGTAAGGGAAAAATGCACTTTTTTCTCTACCGATTTAACTACCGTTCAGCTTTTGCAGAAAATTATGCTTGTCAGCAGAGACTCTAGTTTGCTTTTAAAAAAAAAAAAAAAAATTCTGGTGTCTTGGCTTGTGTGTTGTTTTGGTTTGTGTTTTGGGGGAAAGGGAGGACACGTTAAATGATAAATTTACTGCAGTGTTAAGATTAAACAGATACAAAAGTAATATTCATACTGCAACATTAACTTGGCCTCTTCGCACAGAATGTGTATATGATGTGTCATGGGGCTACATTTTTAAAGGTATTTAGATGCCTATCTCCCATTGGGTTGTGTTTTGTTGTTGTTTTTTCCCCATAGATTCCAAGGCCAGCTGGGGCCATTATGATCATCTAGTCTGAGCTCCTGTATGACACAGGCCAGAGAACTTCCCCCAAATAATTAATAGAATCATAGACCATCAGGGTTGGAAGGGACCTCAGGAGGTCATCTAGTCCAACCCCCTGCTCAAAGCAGGACCAATCCCCAACCAATTCTAGAGCAGATCTTATAGAAGAAGATTTTAATGGGAGTTAGGTATCTAACTGATGAAAGAGCATTCTAGAACACGTGTATGTTGTGTGTAATATGTGTAGGTTAAATGTTCCTGTAGGCTTCTGAATTTTAGGAAACTATAAATGCCCATTCTTGTCCTTGTATTAACATAGAATAATACTTATCTGCTTCACAAAGCTCTTGAAGACATTTCTAAAGCATTTTGAAAGAGTTAAATGCTAATGATGAATTCTATAAATTAGAGCTAACTATGACATTTTTGATGGCTACCTTTTCTCAGTTGGCTACCAGTATCTCAGATCATAGATGCTCTTACTTTGGTTAATGTTTTCTTAAAGTTGATGTGCTCTTTCAAACTTAAGCAAAACTTTAAAAAAAAAAAAAACTCCAGTCTGAGCTGAGCTCCATCTTATGGTTTACATTTGTGTTAATTTTTCTAGGAAGCAAGACGTCATGCAGAACATTGTGCAAATCTTGGAATCCGTCCAGTTAAAATGGGAGCTGTTTCAGAGCTGGACAGATTTCTCCAGGCTACATCTTTCTAACAAACTAGCCATTTTTGGCATTGGTTATAACACACGCTGGAAGGAGGATATTCGCTACCACTACGCTGAGATCAGTTCCCAGGTGCCTCTTGGCAAACGGCTTAGGGAATATTTCAATTCGGAGAAGCCAGAGGGCAGGATCATCATGACGCGAGTACAGAAAATGAACTGGAAAAACGTTTACTATAAATTCCTAGAGATTACTATTAGTGAAGCAAGATGCCTGGAGCTGCATATGGAAGTTGACTGGATACCTATAGCTCATTCTAAGCCAACTGGAGGAAATGTTGTTCAGTATTTATTACCAGGGGGGATTCCCAAAAGCCCTGGCCTGTATGCCATTGGTTATGAAGATTGCCAGGAGAAACCCCACTCACCTCATGCAGACCGCAGAGGCCCAGATCCTGGGAAAGAGACTCAGGGGGAGGTAGATGTCCCTTCACCACAGGCCTCTCTCAGGGTGGAGATGGAGTCTGCCAGAATTATCTATTGTTACCTTGGCATTGCTGAGGTTAGAACTCTCCAGCAGTGCTTGTTTTTACATTTTCAGGCCAACACCAAAACCTTCAGCAAAGAGTGGGTTGGAATCAATGGGTTTTTATCTCAGAACTGCATCGTAGAACCAGGGGTGTCGCCTAAATCCATCTACATCAAATTTGTGGAAGTGGAGAGGGATTTTCTTTCTGCTGGCTCTTTGGTAGAGTGCCTGGAAAAAGCCATTGGATACCCATTGAAGTTTAACAACTGAATCTCGTCCTTCATAAGGATTAGGGCTTCTGCCTCCTTTCCATGTTGCTAGCAGACGCTTACAGATCCTGTCTGTTCACAGTGGGGCAAGTAAGACTTTCAGAGTGAAAATGAACTTCAGAGTGAAAGATGCTTGCAAATGATTCAAAACAACTTGTCCTGAGCAAGTGAAATGTACAGCTAACTTGCTTGGCAGGTCAACTGGTTTTATAAAGAGATGAAGGCGAGCCTTGTAAAAATGACTGTAGGTACATTCCACATTGGACAGAGCTTATACTTTGCATTTCATATGAAAAGCTGTTTTTTCCACAATGTTTCATTTTTACACATCTGTCTCTATATAAAGTGTTATTACCGATCTGAATAAATAAGCAATAGATAATGGCAAGTTAAACCTTGGGTCACATTAAATGAGACTGTTTTTCAATGCCACCCTTAGCTACTATTGTATATAATTTAGAGTTTCACTTTTTTCACCCATCAAGTGTGTTACTATTTCCAACCAGTGTTGCCTGCGAAGACTTTTGTTTCTGTGATGTATCCCACTTCACTAGTAGTGTTGCAAAATCAGCTCTTTTTTACCATTAAAGTAATTCCTGGCCTTTGAGTTCTAGTTAGCCTCTTTGTGGCAGTGAGAATAACCTGACAGCTGGGAAACATTTTGTCAAACCATGCTTATCAATACAATCAAAGCTGTGAGAATTTTGGGGGACAGGGAGGGGCGGGATGAGGGGAGGGGGGGGTTATAGATGGAGGGGGAGTAAACATTTAATGCCTTTTCAGAACTGTTACTATATAAGCCCCATCCTCCTGCTGGCTGGTGCTGGCATTTTGATTTTTCTAAGACTCATTGATCAGTGGAAGTTGTGACATACAATGAATGTGTCAGTCCTAATAAAAAAACCAAACGCCTATGGACTTCTAGAAATGTGTTTCTCTTACTAACCCTGATTCCCCTGGACGGGTTTGTAGTAGAGATGTGCATGTTGAGTTCATTTGAGGTCACCAATCTTACCTGTGGAACCTTGCACCTGGGCTTCGTTCCATGGGCTGGAGCGGTCCTTCCGTCCTGGGTGCTGGTTTTCTTTTATCTGTGGGGAGGAGGAGGTAAGATTATAAATCTGTCTGTACATGATGCTGTAGAAAGCTGGGCATGTGTAAATCTTACGTACGCCAGCAGGGCACTTGCAATTGTGTTGTTGAACTGCTAAATCTAATCTGGACCATAATGGTCCATTTAGCTACCGGATCTTGATTCAGAATTACCACTCATTCTCTTTCAAATGTGGGTGTAGGAGGGAATTTACTGTGATTCTACTAGGCCAGTGTCCATGAAGGCAACAACATAGCAGTGTGTGTGAGTAAGCAGGGGTGATGGTTTTATTCAGCACTATTAAGAGAATAGTGAGTTTGTAATAGTACATTCACCAGTTGTTAGTTTGAATGCATCTTTCAATAATCTTGAGGTCACTGGGGTTTGAGGTGTGAATTCAGATGCTGGAGGAGCCCAGGTGAAATGAGACAGTGTGGTAAGAGGCCGGGTCAGCCTCTGAAGCCCTGTCTGCATTAGAATATTGGTGGCCCCCATCCTGGTCCAGGCACGTGGAACATTGTACAGCACTCGGTGCACCGAGCATCGCGCAGATATTCCACATACTGGTGCCCCGGCACCATCTCAGTGCTAATCTTGGAGACGCCTCTGCCCGCATCACTTCAATTCAGACGGTTCTGGCAGACTGGAGAACAGCCAATGGCGGCACTGAGGCCCAGCTCTCTACCTGGCCCCTTCAATTAGTGTCCCTAAGCCGTACTCGGGTGCTCTTAGTTCCACTCAAATCCTACCTTGCTGCCCTGTCGTCTTCACCCCCCCACCCCCCAGCCTTGTTGCAGCAGTCCAGCTAAGACAAGAGGTTGTTTGCATGATCTCTCCTTCCCCAAGCGTTGCCCCTTATGAACAATAAGCAAAATGTATTGATTCAATCTATTTTAGTTTTAAAATAATATGACGTTTGCTATGAAATGTTTGTGTAGCTGGAGAGCTTGTAACCAACTGTTTTTAGTAACACTTGCCTTTTTATTGACGGATTCTCCTGCCCTGTGTGTTTAGGTATGTATACATCAGCTGTGTGGAAATCACGTAAACTTGCATGTGGCCCATATGCCGAGCATCTCTTAGGAGTGGGCCTTTCCACTGCATCTGACTGACAGAAGAGAAAAAAAAAAATCTTACCTTCCTGCAATGCAGGGTTGGTGTTGCAGCTGGCAGAAGAATCTGCAAAGTGCCAGATGCCACAGAGATGTAAGATAACAGTAGCAGGCTACGCTGAAGCACCAGGTAACCGAAGTCACACCCCAGTAAATCTGAAACCTCAAACTAGGTTTATCAATCATGGCTTTCCAGCCACTAATATGTCTCCCACATGTACAGGAGTGGTAAAGCTGCAGTTGTCGTTGGAAGCTAAGGATGTTGACTGGGGCAGAGTGTGAAAATGGGTAAAGTCTTAAGGGGAAAAAAATGTGAACTACCTAGCAATTCATTTGCATGCCCCTCCTCCAGTTTGTGGAGGTAGATTCCTGCATGCGAGGCCCAGAGTTGGAAATAGACCCATAGGGATCCCTGCCATCATGCTGTTGGCTTGTGAGCGCATAGCACCTTGGACGTATGAGCAAGTTCTCGGGCCACAACAAATCAGTTCACTAAATCAGGGTTCCCAAACTTTATCATTTGTGTGACCCACTTCTGAGTGTCTCATTGACACCTGTCCTCCTGCTCATCACCATACAGACCCAGCTCCACCCCCCAAAGGCAACAGAATAACATCCCTGTGGCAACTAAATCACTTGCTTACATGGAAAGGTAATGTTAGGGAATTATGGTGGTTTTAGCTCCTTTTAGTGCACTTTTAGGGCATGGAAATGAGGTGAGTTAGCATCCTGTGACCAGCAAGCTCTCTGGACTTCTGTGGGAACCACTGGCCTAAACCATTGGGACTACAAACCAATACAATGCATTTTAAATATGGGATTAAAAGATGTGCGTTATACGCTTGCCATCTGTGCACCTTTTCAGGGGAGCTTTGTGGGGATGGAATAGAAGCGTCCATGTACCGTTTTCTATGTTACAGCTTTCAAGGTCAGCAGGGGCTATTAGATCAGGCTGGTTTGGCCCCCTGTATAGCACAGGCCACTGAATTTCACCAGTTATCCCTGTGTTGAGGCCAGTAATTTGCATAACTTGTGTTTTGGCTAAAGCCTCTTCCAGCAGGGCTGCCAGGCTCTGTCTGAAGACTTCCGGAGATGGTGACGGCACCACCAACGGCTTGGTTCAGCAGTTAATCACCCTCGCTGTTAAAAATGGACCTAATTTCTAATTTGCATTTGTCTGGGACTTCAGCTCCCAGCCATTGGTTCTTATTCTGCATTTCTCTGAAAGATTAAAGAGACCGTTAGTACCTGGTACAGTAACTCCTCGCTTAACGTTGTAGTTATGTTCCTGAAAAATGCTACGTTAAGAAAAATGATGTTAAGTGAATCCAATTTTCCCATAAGAATTAATGTAAATGGGGGGGTTAGGTTCCAGGGAAAAAATTTTTTGCCAGACAAAAGACATTATATACATATACAGTATACGTTTTTTAAATTTTAAACTATTTAATACTGTACTCACCAATGATTGGGAAGCTTGGTTGATGCGGGGCGTAGTGGGGTAGGGGTGCAGGGCCTTGCCCCACTCCGCCCGTCTGGCGCTCCTGTCCTGGAGCAGGGTCGGGGGCTTGCCCACTCCCCAGCTGGAATGCCAGTGGGCGGAGTGGGGCAAGCCCCTGTGCCCTGACCCCACTATCTGGCAGGAGCAATGGGTGGAGCAGGGCGAGCCAAACAGCTTTATAACAGAACGTTGCATGACTTTAAGTGAGTATGTTCTCTAATAGATCAGCAACCTAATAACAAAACAATGTTAACCGGGATGACTTTAAGTGAGGAGTTACTGTATTTAATCAAATCACCTCTCAAACGTCTTTTTGATAAACAGCTTGAGCTTGCACTACCTATGCCAACGGGAGGGGTTTTCCTGTCATGATAGGTAATCCACCTCCCCGAGAGGCAATAGCTTATGGAAGAATTCTTCCGTCGACCTAGCACTGTCTACACAGGGTCTTATATTGGCTTAGCTACGCCACTCAAGGATGTGGATTTTTTTTTAGCCCCTGAGTGATGTAGTTAACCTAATTTTCTGTGTAGACCAGGCCTTGGTGTCTCACTGTAAGGTATTTTCCCCAGCCCGTAAGTCATTTTTGTGGCTCTCTGCTGCACCCTCTCCAGTTTTTCAACATCCTTTTTAAAATGTGGACACCAGAACTGAGCTCAGGGTTCCAGTATTTGTCTTCACCAATACCATGTACCGAGATGAAAATCACCTCCGTATGGCTACTCACCCTCTTTGTATGTCCAAGGGTCTTACCAGCTCTTTGTGGCGTGGCATTGCACTGGGCACTCACATTGAGTTCCCTGTCCCCTGTGTCCCCTAAATCCTTTTCAGAGTCACTGCTTTCTAGGATAAGGCCCCCGCCCCCATTCTGTGTTCCTTGTTCCTAGATGTGCAACTTTGCTTTTGGCTGTATTAAAATACATTTGTTTGAATGGGCCCAGCTTGCCAAGTGCTTCAGATCCCTCTGTCGTCTTCATTATTACAGTCCACCAATAGAAAGCTGCAGTTTCAATGCGAAAGCCTGGCAAGGTTCAGTCCTCCAGCATCTACTAGGTGGATACTGCAGACAGACGTTCTTGAGGAAGCCTCGTGGCTTGATGCTGGCAGGTTCCAACAGGAAGAAACCTCCTTGAAGGGAAACGCAGAGGCTGGGCTGGAGCATGGTTATGTAAGGGCCCACAAGTTGCACTTGGAGTGCGTACAGCATGATTGTACGGCTGCGTATTTCTGAGTGCTAGCTGGTCCTAGTTGCGGACCAGTTGTAGGCACTGGAATTACAGCCAAAGCTTTAGAGACAAGGCTGAGAAACCAAATTGGATAAGGGCATGGGGGGAGGGGGAGGCCGAGACTGCAGATGGGGTGGAGGAGGAAGAATGTGACAATGAAGACTAGAAATACTAGGGGGTCATACACATCACAGCTTCTGTTGGCTGATCTCATTGCACCCACCAGGGGGCGTGCGCACGCAACCCTCCATTCCCGCCTCCCTGGGTCCTGCCCCCCATTCCCCCTCTACTGCAGGGACTCTCTCTTACTCCCACCACTCCCTCCCTCCCTCATGCCTGGGACTGTGTCCCCATTCTCCCTTCCCCTGCCATGGCATAGTCTCGCTGTGCCCTCCACTCTTCCCACTGTCACATGCCAGGGTCCCCCAGTCGCCCCTTGCCAGGGGTTCTGTGTGCCCCCTATTCCCCCTTCCTCCCATAAGTCATCCATTCTCCTCCCCCGTGTGCCAAAGACTGAGTACACCCATACCAGGGTCCCTCAATTTCCCCCTTCACTCCTCCCCCCTCCCTCCCCGGCCTGCCAGGGGCAGGGCACATAACTCCCTTCCCCACCCAACATTGTTATTTGTCTCCTTTCTCTTTAGGAGATCAGACACTCAGTGTGTCCATGTATAA